GGTGGCGCTCAGAGGCGCCGCCTCCGCGACAGCGGCGGCGTAACTTTGGGCTTCCATATCTCCACTTCCAGACTTCCAGACTGTTGTTCGACAATTATTTTTATATGCGGCAAATCAGCAGACATTCTAGATTCTAAAACAGTTTTCCTTTTGTAAGTTCTCTTGAACGGGAGTTACACGTCGCAACGCGCAGTGGCGTAGCGGATCGGGGCCTCAAGCCGGTTCTCCATCTTTGGTCTTACTATCATGGTGAAGCGAAGTGAAGCTGGCAACTTCGTTTGGCACAAGGGTGGGCTTAGCTTGTTATTGGCTTCCCTACTTAAGCTCTTACCGTTGTGTTTCAATGTTTAGTCTCGAGTCTCAGCGCCTCAGGCCCAGCCCTGTACGCCGGGCGCGTCACGAAATGTGAACTTCGCGTGGCCTGCAATGAAAGGCATTATGTCTGATGTACGTAGGGCTGGTTGTACAAAGCTTTGTTTTCTTGGCGTGGCGCCAAAAGCTCTTAGCGCCATGACGTGTACCTTCTTACTGTCGTTTGAAGTGAACCAGTTGGCATAGCGTATTGCGTGCGTTTGCTGGCTGCGTGGAACTAGTGAGGAGCGGTGGGGCTTCATCTTTAAATTCTTAATGACCCTCCATGAATATATCAAGGAGGAAGTGCGTGCGACTTTCATCCCCCTTCACAGCAGCAGAGCGGTGCGCACGGCACTGTTGACGACAGCGCAGTCAGCAACATGCAGTTCTAAGCAGGGGAGTCAGGATCTGCTTACTCCTGACTGTCGTATTTGAAAGCAGTCCGAACGTAAGGATCCTGTCCATGTACCGTAAAGAACTTAAGGGTAATTTTACCCTCGAATGGGACTCAACGACCCGAGGGTGCCCAACTGTGGTAATCAGGTGTACACAGACTTTGTAATCTCTGGTAATCCCTGGTAATCCTCACACTCGTGAGGGTCCTTTAAAAGGACAAATTTGTTGATTTGGACATGAACTTTTGTGCACATTTTGCCTAAATGCCAACGCGCATGTTTAATATGGCAACTTTGCATCCCTCCCACGGACAAAATCATGATTTGGCCAATCATAGAATGCAAATTTTTAACTTGTATGATAAAGAATCAAGAACTATCAAAGAGCTGCACAAAAGTGCATCTTTCTCGGAACAAAAAATTGCAGTTTCGATTTCGAATGCAGGTGGATCATACCTAGTATACATTGGTAATCTTTGGTAATCATTGGTAATCTTTACAATTTGGTAATCTGGTGTACACATTTTTATGGAGTTAGGCACCCCTCGCAACGACCCTTCACCTCACGAGGGTGAACTAGCCATATGTACGCCAGACCCCGTCTCGCGCAACATAGGCTTTGCGATCCCTCACGAAAATACTGAACGCTGCGACGCGCCTGGCATATATCTATCTACCTAGGCCTGTGGCGCCGGCACCCGAGTCGGGCAAAAAGCAGAGTCGTCAATAGGCCTTCGGCAACAAAAGTCACAAATTTTGCTTCTTGGACTTTATTTTGACGAGTAACCCCGCCGCAGACCATCAAGTATCTGAGAAAAAACATTAAAATGTTGTACTTTGACGAGTTGCGTCTTTGAAAGATGTAAAACAAAAAAATATTTTCCTAAAGATATATTTTCGGCTTTTTGTTGTTGTGTTTTCTGACAAGTCAATTTTTAAGCTTGAGGTCTGAAAACCTTTACAGTTCTTGTTTTTATGACACAAAGTAACAGTAAAAATTTCACTTACGTAGCTTAACCCTACAAGGCATGAGCCGGTCCAAATTGACCAAAGTTGAATATTCGAGTTCTGCCAACCAAGGGAGTGTCGAAGAAGCATTTTAAGCCCTCGTGGGGTGTTCTACCATGTACGGTTCAGGATTGCTGAATGTCATTTATAAACGACACCATGCCTTCCGGGTCACTCGACATGATTTCTTATTTTGCTTTTAAAGTGGATGAAAATTTCAGGACCGGTCTGCGTTGGATTGATTAATGATCACATTTCACCAAAAAATGTCAATATTTAAAAAGACGAGTGGCCGATAAAGCCCCAAAACAGGTGTTTTTGGGTCATTTTTGAGGGGTGTTTGTAAAGAGAACAATTTAGACGGCAAATCTTCGAGAAATATGGGGTAAACTCAGCATGGTTGTATGCAGAAAAGTGTAAGGAATAAAACTTGTCCAGTAAAAAAATACACTTTTCTTAAAGATGGTGCCTCTAAAACCTGCTCAAAGTCGAACGTCATTTTAAAACGACACCATGCCTTTCGGATCACTCGATAATCGAAAATAAAAAATTGATAAATAATCGACTTTTTTGGTTTCTGATGCTTTAATGATTTGTTCTGAGGCAATATCGAGTGTCCTAGTTCTGAATATCGAGTTTCTTTGTACTCATTTCAATGTTTCAACCTTCGGAAGAAAAAGCACACCTTTGTGCAAGTGGTCATTTTTGAGCGCAATTTTTCCTATGATGCTTTCGTCATACGGTCTTCCGAGAACACGAACTCCTACTTAGTGTCCCTGAGATACTTTTCAGCGTGCATATGTTACTTTAGGGCACAGTTTCTGTGAGTGGAGGCCGGGCCAAAACACCACTTTGAACGACCTTTGTCGTTTTAAAACAACATATGTCGTTTTAAAACGACAACGGTATCGTTCAAAGTGTTGCCGTTGCACGGCTTTCACTCACAGACGCTGTGCCTGAAAGTAACATATGCATGCTCAAAAATATCTCATGGACACTTACTAGGAGTTCGTGTACTCGTAAGACTGTATGACAAATGCATCATAGGAAAAATTGCGCTCAAAAATGACCACTTGCACAAAGGCTTTTCGCTTTTCGCTCCGAAGGTTAAAACATTGAAAAAGTAAAAAAAAAAAACTCTATATTCAGAACTACGACACTCGATACTGCCTCAGTCCTCACCAATAAAGCATCAGAAATCAAAAAAGTCGGTTAGTAACAAGGTAAATGTACGCCAGACCACGTCTCGCGTAACAGGCTTCGCGATTTCTCACGAAACACTGTTAAGCTTCGACGCGCCTGGCATACATCTACCTTGGCCTGCGGCGCTGACACCCGAGTCGGGTAGTTGGAAATGTACACAAAAATACGGGCCTAAGGCCCGTCAACGGTCCGTCACCTCGACTAAGCATGCAGGGTTGTACATTTTTCGCTTACTTTTGTCAAAAATACCCTCTACTGCCTCCACGGTTTGAGCTAGGCCAAAACGGACAAAATTTCCGGGCAAAGGAATTTACTTTGATGAGTTACCCCTTAGGACACCACAAAAAATATATTTTTAAACAAGCAGGCCCGCCCTTCCGCCAAACGAAGTGCCAGCTTCGCTTCGCTGCGCCGGCAACTCCGTTCGGCAGGGGCCGGGCCTGCTTGGCCTGCCGGCGGCGATGGTCGGGCCTGCGGCCCGACCATTTCTGTCATGCGATTTGCCGAGGGGGCAATAACTCCGGGAATCATGTGTACACCGGGCCGGGAATCATGCCGGAATCATGCGGGAATCACGGGAATCATGTGGGAATCAAGGGAATCAAGGGGAATCACCGGGAATCATCAGGAATCACCGGGAATCACCTGGAATAAATGAAAATCCCCGGGAATCGCCAAGAATAACCGGGAATCACCGGGAATCATAAAAAATCTCAAGGAATCTTGCGTTCAGCCCGAGGGGGCAATAACTCCGGGAATCATGTGTACACCGGGCCGGGAATCATGCCGGAATCATGCGGGAATCACGGGAATCACGGGAATCATGTGGGAATCAAGGGAATCAAGGGGAATCACCGGGAATCACCAGGAATCACCAGGAATCACCAGGAATCACCGGGAATCACCGGGAATCAATGAAAAATCAGCGGGAATCACCAAGAATCACCGGGAATCACCGGGAATCATAAAAAATCTCAAGGAATCTTGCGATCAGCCGGAACAATTAAAAAATGTTAACCGCACATGATGCACGTTGACAGTGAAGGCGCGGATTCGTGTTTCGCTGCCGAAACTGGCTATGGAGTTCTGTGCTGGAGGAGTGCATATCTTAGCATGCTCATCGAAGTTCAGAGTTATAAACAAAAAAGCTTGCAACAGCATGTCGATTTTTGTTTTTTAACGAGGGGTCCGTGCGTGGTTAATATGCACG